CTCCTAAGTTTGTGTATTAAAATTCAGCTACTAGTCCGCCATCACCTTCAACGGAATAGGGTGAATATGGCTCGTGTATTAGAGCTGAGCGTTCGTTCATCGTGTCACCTGGCGGACGTCGTCAGAACTTAAAATTATTTATGTAAAAGCTTCAAGTGACAGAAACAATGCCACCCCTGCTATACACTACTTGTTCTATATAATCATAAATAAATAAATAAATATTTATATATATAAATCTAGATATATATAGAAAGGTTCAATTAATTCTCTTTCTTAATAACCAAATAGTTCTACCTGAGGGTGTGATTGTTTGTAGCTGTTATGGTGGTCAAATCTGTATGCGCGTAAGTCATAGTTCGTAACATGGGCAATATCTTTCCATGTGCCTGTCCCTCTTCCTCTCCCTCTTTATCTACCTTTCTCTAATTCCATCAAATAGCCTGAAATAATTATTATTTAATTTCCAATCCCCACTATTGCTTCTGAGGATGTTGTTTGTCGTGCTAATTTGAAGCAACTCTTAGATCTTCGAGTGCTGATGTTGGCTTGACCTCGTTCTCGAAACTCGGTCGGAGCTTCATGGGAATCTTGTAGAACGTACCCAGTCCTGTATCCTCGGGCATAGTATTCGTGATTTCCAGCATGGAACCATTGACTTTGTACATTCCCCGCACGTTTCGCCAGCATCTTGAGTGAGAGATGTCATCATCAAGACACAGTTAGGACTTGTTAAAGGGACAAGTGACCATTTTTCTGTTCAAACGTTCTGGCATCACTCCTCGCCCCTATTTTTTGTTCTTCCTTTTTGTGCTGCATTTCCCTCTCAACCCACTTCATATGGTTCAGCTCGTTATTCACACAATTCTGTGTTCTCGTTACCTTCAATGCCGCCTAAGAAAGTGACCTTTGGAAGGCATACTCATCCTCATCACCGGTTCCTGGTGTCGAGTGCCTGGCTTCTGTCCTTCCTTCCGCCTCCCTTTTCCAACTCCGCTTCTCAAGTGGTCCCTGCTACACCGCAAAATCATTGTCTGGTTGTATGAAATCTTGCTGCTTATGAGTCTTCGCGTCCCGTCCCCGATTACGCCATATTCGAGGATCTAGAGCCGGTGATGCCCATGCCCGTGCCCATGTCCATGCCTAAGCATCTTCCTTTCCCCATGCTTCAGACTCGTCGCCCACTTATCCTCTTTCTCATCCCCACCCACATTGCACCTCATTCTTTGGGGTCCTGTTTCCGGAACGTCGGTGTGAAACTGCATCGCTTCCCTTTTTCCACTATTGAATTGCATGGAGCACCTTCCTCTTGTCTCTCATGTTGTCAGTTCCATCTAATCCTATGGCACTGGTTAGTTGTTCGTGTGTGTATCATGTCATTAGCCACCTCTCCTTAAGGCACACACCCGAAAAATGCCCACAAGCACACACGCGCATACTGACGACCTCTCTCTGGCACACTTGTGCCCTTAGCCCAGCACCTCGAATGGTGCACAATTTGTATGTTTCTGGTCTTTAATTTCCTATCCCACCTCCCACAAGTGGGCCCTCCAGGTTTGACTAGTCTCACTGCAATCGCCTTTTCTTGATTTCTCTTTGTTCCTCAGGATGCTCGGCTTGGCGACTTCTCTTCATATTGCGGAATAGTTGTCTTTGATACAAGCGTCTTCTTTCTGTTGTACTCGTTCAATCTCCAAGTCTGTCTAAGCAGAACGCAGAATTATCGCTGACTTCTATTTTCTATTTTCTCCTATTCATCAGGTTTCTTTCAAGTTGTATGTCTACAGCCTCCCCGATCTTCCATTTCCCAGTCTTCTCCCCATCCGTTACACTCCAGTCAATTGTGCGACCAGTCAGAGCAGCATCTTTAGCTTTCTTCGATTTTTCTGTATCCATTTTTCTGCAGAGTCGCTAGTGTTCCCTGATCCGTGTGCTGATTGTCCTTTCCGTCTCCGTGATCTATTTTTGTTTGACCTCCTTGCAACTGGTGCTGCAAGCTCTGGAGCAGTCGATTTTGGTGACTTCTTCATGTTGTGTAGGCAAGCTGGTAAGGAGCGTTATCCTCTTCTCCAAGATGATACAAATGCTCCATTTCAATAGCAGCGACCGCAGCTTCCGAGCCAATTCGCGGGAAAGTAGACATATCATTCGTTTTTCCTTTGTTTCCCTTGCCTTCATTTCATAATTCCCGTCCTTCCATCAGTTCATCACAATCCGTGTGCTGCGTTGTATTTCACCTTGTGGATATCCGTTTCCAGGATCCATCTGAGTTAGTTTTTCCTGTTCCTTTTCCCAAAATTTAAGACCGGTAAATCGTAGGCTTCTTATTGCCATACTCTTAAATATTCCCATCTTCATTTCATAAGTATGGTTGGACTGGAAGTTAAGGATTGTTTCTGCTTATTTTTCACTTGGAAACACACACTTCTTAAAAGTCTCATCTGAATGAATGGCCTCCACTTTGAAGTAAGTTTTTGTCCCTTCTCCTGCACATCCATTGTACATTTGACTTTTTCATCTGTGCCGTTTTAAAAGATCAGGAAATAGTTCCATCTTTCTCTTCCGTGCAACCAGATATAGAAGGAGTCATCCTAATATAGCATAAATACTGTTGACTGTTTTCAAATTCATCCTACAACAAATGTCCTCCATGTGGACATTGGCCAACAGAGATGAGAGCGGCGAGCCCATAGACAGAACAAATATTTGTTTATAGTTGTTGCCGTCGTTCGTGGAATAAGTAGTTCTTATCGTTAGGTTGACTAATCGGGTTAGAGACTCTTTGTGGATTAATTCCGTTTCCAGAGTGTTATCTTCTTTTTCCAAGATCTCCAGTAGTGCCGTGAGTGCTTTTTCTCTTTTAATGTTATTGTGCATGGACTGTACCTCAAAGCTCACCAATAGTTGGCGTCCTTTCAAATAGGTGCCTTTCATATTCTGGCAAAATTTGTATGAGTTCTTCACTCTATTCCATAATCTGCCATTCACATTTTTTCACTTGAGGCAGATAAATTTCACCAGATGATATGTTGCTCCGTGTTTGTTGTTGACTCTCAAACTCAATTGTTCTCCTTCTTTGTGTACCTTCGACAAGCCGTAGGCTACTGAGGCTGAGTGAATTAATTGGTCTTATTCATTTTTTTCAGCATTTCCTGCAGTGCCTCTTTGATTTCAACTTTTGGGTCTAGCTCTAGTGTCTCCGAGCTCAACATTTATAGCACAAGAGCGTCCTTAAAATCTAACTTTTTTTGTTTATACTATTACTTCATCCGTCTGGCCAAGTCGTCAGCCTCTCGAAGAGGTGAACCCCGACAATGACGTCAGTAATCACCGGATCTGGTGGCCTCTAAGGCCACGTGGACAATTTACTGCAGTCTGAAAAGTAACCACCAATCAACGACGGGGCAGCAAGCCTGTGTGCTGTTGTCTGGCCAATCAGAGCAAGCCGAGCGCGGACCAATAGGCGGTCAGGCAGTCAGCTCTGTCAGCTGCCAATCGGTTGTTGGCCAATCAGCTGGCTGCAATCGTAAGACGAGTCTTTACCAACTCTCGGCGGTCCTATTGTAGCGGCATTAGTAGTCAAAGCGAGGCGATTGAAACGCCCGCTTCAGTCTTATCATACATTGTGTATTCAGTCGCCGCTTCATACAGCTCAACGGCGACATGACGACGAGTCAGCCTCTCCGCGGCTCGTCGACACATCATTTTCGTTTTATCTGAGCCGCCCAGCCAGATAGTCCCCATTCCCTTCGTCGTCATAATGTGGCTCGTCCGAGTGTGCAGAGCTGTGGTCGCCTTGCTTGCGCCTCTGTTTGGCCTGCAGCTCAGTCTGGGCCCCGGGCTGTACCACCTCTTTCTGCTGCTGGCCGAGCCGCAGGGTTTGTCCGGCCTGAACCATCGCGCCTACGGCCAGGTCGAGTTGGATCGCTTCAAACGACACATCACCTACACCATCAAAGAGGAGTCAGAGATCGGCTCGTTCGTCGGCGACCTGCGCATCGACTCGGACATCGAGCAGGCCGTCCTGACAATCGGTGACAGCGACGGCGACGGCGACGGCGACGGCGACAGCGTCGGCGTCGGCATCGGCAACAGGACGCTTTGCTTTGAGTTGTACGACGACTCGACGGGCGGTCTGTTTCGTCTCGAGTTCACCAGTGGTCAACTGTTCGTGGCTCGTCGCATCGACCGCGAGGCCATCTGCCCCGGCCAGGCGGCCGACCAGCCCGAGCTGGGCCACTTTTCACGGCTGCCAGATCCCGTCGACCAGGGCAACGGCAACGGCAACGGCAACGGCGAGGCGGACGGTGACAGCGACGTCAGGCGAGGCGGCCGCGATTCCGTGACGGCGGTCTGTCAGCTCGAGTTGACCGTATTCATCGCGCCCAGCTTTTGGATCAACGTTGTCGTCACGGTGCAGGACATCAACGACCATGAGCCCCGATTCCCGCCGACGCCAGCGTCGCCGTCGCCGTCGCCGTCGCCGTCGCCATCGGCGTCGGCGTTACCGTCGACGGGAGGTCGGCCTGACGGTGTGTCCTCGTCGGTCTACACAGTGCGCATCTCCGAGGCCGTAGAGCCGGGCTACCAAGTGCCGTTGGTGGGCGCGATCGACGAAGACATCGGAGCCAACGGGATCCAGACGTATCGGTTGCACGGGGACGAGTTGACCCGTGACGGAATGTTCGAGCTCCACTTTGAGCCACCGTACAGCCTCAATCTGGTCGTGCTGGGCCGACTGGACACGGAGACAACGGCCAACTACTCGGGCCATCTGGTCGCCTGTGACGCCGGTCTGCCGGTGGCCAAATGCGGTCGACAAGCCCTCCTCGTCCTCGTCACCGACGTCAACGACAACAAGCCGGTCTTCGCGCAGCCCGGCTACCTGGTTACCGTGGAGGAGAGCGTAGCCGTGGGCGAAGTGATTGCCCGCGTGTCGGCCGTCGATGCCGACTCGGGCGCTTTCGGTCAACTCACCTACCACCTCGGACGGACAGCCGAGCCAGGCGTGACGCAACACTTCGCCGTGAGACTGGATACCGGTGAAGTAGTCGTCAAGGCGGCGCTCAACGCTCGCCGACTACCCAAGGCGAGTCTGCCGATTGTGGCGCGTGACGCTGGGCCCATTCCGTTGCTGGGACAGACGGTGTTGCGTGTCGAGGTGCGCGATGTCAACGATCACCGGCCCTGGATTCAGGTGCGTCCGATATTGCCCCTGACGACCGGCGAAACGACGCCGTTGGCGTCGACATTGGCGTCGGCGTCGGCGTCGTCCAGCGTCGCGGGCCGGGTGACCATGTCGATTGTCGAGAACCGGCCGGCCGGCAGCGGCGTCGGTTTGGTCATCTCGGGCGACGAGGACGTGGGTCGTAACAGCGAAGTGACGTGTCGCCTGACGACGGGGCAACGTGTGTTCCGGTTGGAGCACTCAAACGAGGCCAAGGGTCGCCAGATCTACACGTTGGTGACGGCAACTCGACTTGATCGCGAAGCGGCTCCGGCCAACGGGTTGTTGGGCGTCGGTATTCGTTGCACGGACCGCGGTCTCCCGACGCCGCTGGCAACTGAGGAGGCGTTTGAGGTGGCCTTGTTGGACGAAGACGAGTTTGCGCCCCAGTTCGAGGCGGGGCTTGGCGAGCCAGTGACGGTTCGTGTCGAGGAGAATCTGCCCGCGGGCAGTCCCGTCGTGCGGCTGACAGCCAGCGACGCCGACGCTACAGCCCGTCTTGTCTACAGCCTGTCAACCGAAGCGCAGGCCTTCTTCTCCGTCGATCCGGCCACCGGGCAGGTGGTAACGCGACTGCGTTTGGATCGCGAAGCGCAGCCGGACATCGACTTTATGCTGTTGGCCTCCGACGCCGTCGGTCCGATGGCGACGGCGACGGCGACAGCAAAGTCGACTGCGACTGCCCGTGTACGCGTGCGAGTTCTGGTCACCGACGTGAACGACAATGCG